GAGGAACTACTCTCAGTTCAAGAGGGAGACCCTTTCTGTCCTCCACTGTCTGAGAATCTTCCGGAATTATATCTTCGGCAGGAGGTTTATTTTGAGAGTGGATCCGGCCGCCCTGGCCTACTCTCTAAGGAATTACGTTCCATCGGATCCGACGATTGTCAGATGGCTGACGTACATCTGGATGTTCAATTTCGAATTGGAACGGATTCCTGGTAGTAAGAACTGGGCGGACGGGCTGAGTCGGATCAACTGGGATAAGCAGGAAGGGGAGGCGGTGGAGAATACGCCCCCAGTTGATGGATTTCTGGATCAGAAAGAAGATGTTCGTCTTCATATCAACATGGTCGCCGCGAGTGCCCAGCTGTGTAGGCTATCCTATCTGGCAAGCGCCAAAGGGGTATGAAAGGAGAAATGAGCTAGTCTTTAAGCCCTTTGAGGAAGAAGATCCCTGGGGCGGTAAGGATGTTCAATGGATGATGGAGCTAGCGCTGGCCAGCTCGCATAGCCTGATGGAGGACATGAGAACGATTGAGGAAGGACCTGGCCAGGTAGAACGACATGAGGACCTGATGGGAGGAATGTATCTCCTCGTCAACACGTTATTGCAGGAAGGCCTCGACCAGTCAGGCTCGTTGAACTGGACAGGAAAGGTGGACGAAGTGCCCGAGAGCCAGGACGACGAGTTCGAGGAGGGAGAGATTAAGGAGGCTTTTCGTGTAGAGGAGTACGACGGGATCTACCTAGAACTGGGGCTTCTTCTGTCATGTGAAATGCGGCTAAGGGATGCAAGCGAAAGGGCTCAGAGGATGCTGCAGCGCTACTTAGTGCGAGACGACCACCTTTTCGTGAGAAGAGAAGTGGGGAAACCCAGGAGGGTCGTCTGCGGCAGGAATCGTCAAATCGACGTCGTAGCAGCACTACACGATGGCATTGCAGGAGGGCATCGAGGGGTACAAGCCACGTATGCCAAGATAAGTGAACTGTACTACTGGGATGGAATGATGGACATGGTCGGGAAGTTCTGTCGATCCTGCGTACCCTGCCAGGAGAGATCCCGTTTAAGGCAGGGAGAGCCGCTGCATCCAAGGTTAGAGCGAGAGGTAGGGGCCATAGTGCATCTCGATCTGCTTTTTATGCCACTTGGGGATCAGGGCTATAACTATATCTTCGATGTGCGCGATAACCTGTCTGGGTTCATAGACGGGCGTGCTATTCGCACCAAGACCGGGTTAGTCTTAGTGAGCTGCATCGAGGAATATTACCTGCGTTACCCTTTCGTCAGGGAATTCGTAATGGACAGGGGATCGGAGTTTACCTGCCAGGAGGTGCAAAAATTGTTATCAAGGTATGGTGTAGCAGCCAACTACACCACGGCCGCGCACCCCCAGGCAAATGCTCCCGTAGAGAGGGGACATAGTACCATTACGAGTCTCCTGGCTAAGTGGACCGAAGGTAGACCTAATCAATGGCCAAAATACCTAAGGGCGGCGTTCTTTGTCGAGAACATTACAATAAAAAGATCCACCAAGCACGCACCGGCGACATTGTGGTATGGAAGGCATGCCACCTTCCCTATCGAGAGCTTTCTTAAGACATGGAGGCGCCAGGATCTGAAAGTTAACCTGTCATTTGAAGAATTGCTCGATATTCGGGCGCGGCAGATAGGAGCGAAAGAAGAAAGGATCCAGGAAGCGTCTGACCAGGTGACGAGAAGTCGTATGGACGATAAGGCTCGATGGGATCAGTCTTCGCGAGTGAGGAAAGTACCCTTGGCAGTCGGGGATGTCGTGTTTCTCTACGATACATCGCTGGAAAAACAGTGGTCCAGGAAGCTCGATAA